CTTGGATGGGGGAACCGCATGCGGACTGCGCCACCGGGGCGGGCCTTCGGTGGAGCTCCCTATGGGGCTACGAAACGCTGCCCTGGGTGGGGGAACCGCATGCGAACTGCGCCACTGGGGCCTTCGGTGGAGCTCCCTATGGTGCCACGAAACGCTGCCCTGGGTGGGGGAAGCGCATGCGAACTGCGCCACGGGGGCTTTCGGTGGAGCTCCCCATGGGGCCACGAAGCGCTGCCCTGGGTGGGGGAACCGCATGCGAGAGCAGCCACTGGGGCCTTCGGTGGAGCTCCCTATGGGGCCACGAAACGCTGCCCTGGGTGGGGGAACCGCATGCGAACACCCCCACTGGGGCCTTCGGTGGAGCTCCCTATGGGGCCACGAAACGCTGCCCTGGGTGGGGGAACCGCATGCGAACACCCCCACTGGGGCCTTCGGTGGAGCTCCCTATGGGGCCACGAAACGCTGCCCTGGGTGGGGGAACCGCATGCGAACACCCCCACTGGGGCCTTCGGTGGAGCTCCCTATGGGGCTACGAAACGCTGCCCTGGGTGGGGGAACCGCATGCGAACACCCCCACTGGGGCCTTCGGTGGAGCTCCCTATGGGGCCACGAAACGCTGCCCTGGGTGGGGGAACCGCATGCGAACACCCCCACTGGGGCCTTCGGTGGAGCTCCCTATGGGGCCACGAAACGCTGCCCTGGGTGGGGGAACCGCATGCGAACACCCCCACTGGGGCCTTCGGTGGAGCTCCCTATGGGGCTACGAAACGCTGCCCTGGGTGGGGGAACCGCATGCGAACACCCCCACTGGGGCCTTCGGTGGAGCTCCCTATGGGGCCACGAAACGCTGCCCTGGGTGGGGGAACCGCATGCGAACACCCCCACTGGGGCCTTCGGTGGAGCTCCCTATGGGGCTACGAAACGCTGCCCTGGGTGGGGGAACCGCATGCGAACACCCCCACTGGGGCCTTCGGTGGAGCTCCCTATGGGGCTACGAAACGCTGCCCTGGGTGGGGGAACCGCATGCGAACACCCCCACTGGGGCCTTCGGTGGAGCTCCCTATGGGGCCACGAAACGCTGCCCTGGGTGGGGGAACCGCATGCGAACACCCCCACTGGGGCCTTCGGTGGAGCTCCCTATGGGGCTACGAAACGCTGCCCTGGGTGGGGGAACCGCATGCGAACACCCCCACTGGGGCCTTCGGTGGAGCTCCCTATGGGGCCACGAAACGCTGCCCTGGGTGGGGGAACCGCATGCGAACACCCCCACTGGGGCCTTCGGTGGAGCTCCCTATGGGGCCACGAAACGCTGCCCTGGGTGGGGGAACCGCATGCGAACACCCCCACTGGGGCCTTCGGTGGAGCTCCCTATGGGGCCACGAAACGCTGCCCTGGGTGGGGGAACCGCATGCGAACACCCCCACTGGGGCCTTCGGTGGAGCTCCCTATGGGGCTACGAAACGCTGCCCTGGGTGGGGGAACCGCATGCGAACACCCCCACTGGGGCCTTCGGTGGAGCTCCCTATGGGGCCACGAAACGCTGCCCTGGGTGGGGGAACCGCATGCGAACACCCCCACTGGGGCCTTCGGTGGAGCTCCCTATGGGGCTACGAAACGCTGCCCTGGGTGGGGGAACCGCATGCGAACACCCCCACTGGGGCCTTCGGTGGAGCTCCCTATGGGGCCACGAAACGCTGCCCTGGGTGGGGGAACCGCATGCGAACACCCCCACTGGGGCCTTCGGTGGAGCTCCCTATGGTGCCACGAAACGCTGCCCTGGGTGGGGGAACGCATGCGAACCCCCACTGGGGCCTTCGGTGGAGCTCCCTATGGGGCCACGAAACGCTGCCCTGGGTGGGGGAACCGCATGCGAACACCCCCACTGGGGCCTTCGGTGGAGCTCCCTATGGGGCTACGAAACGCGTGAGAGGTGTGCCGAGAGCAGAGGCAAGGAGGGGGAGGAGGGAGGAGGGGGAAGAGGAGGAGAGGAGAGGACGCGGGCACCGTCTCTTCAAAACGAGGACCCAACACCACAGGATGGTTGGGAAAAATATAGACGACTATGCACAACGTGTCGAACAGGTGTTTGGTAAATGCAAGCTCAACAAACATTCCTATACGAACTGCGCCGTTCGCTATACCAAGAATGACCAAGGGGATGTGATCATGGATCAGGACGATTTCATGAAACAACTACGTCCTACCACACACCCCGAACTCACAGGAGCGGCGGCCGATGCCAAAGCCACCAAACTCATCGCCGACATGTTTGTCAGCCTGCGAGGAGCCCTCGCCTATGCCCTTCTTACTCAAGTCTGGCTTATGGTGTATGTGGTCTCTCTTCAGAAAATCCAAGAGCCCGCCAACCTAAAAGTCAGGCGACTGAATGCTGTGACGCGAAAGCTGATCAGCAGCCCGAAACGCATCACCTTCCCTCGGATGAAACCGACGAACGAAGTTGACATACATAGTGATTCGGGGTATCGGAAGCTCACCGGGGAGGAGGACGATGAGACCAAGGGCTACGGCATACGTGGGGCCAACGTACTACGGCGAGAAAACTCGCCTCAAGGCAAACCGGCCATTCACCTTTGTGACGGACTATGTAAATCACATCGACTGCAGGTGAGGTCCAGCTATGCCGCTGAAGCACTTGCAGCTGCACACAACCTTGATCAGTGCTACCCTACGCTCATCACTCTCCACGAGCTCACGGCAGGGGCCCTGGCTCCACGACAACTCCGAGACATGCGTGAAGTTGGAGGCCTAGCCATTAAAGTATCCCTCACCATAGACGCTGAGTCTGTATACAAATCGTTATCCAGCGAAGATCTTAAGATACCGACGGAACGGACTTTGCTGGGACATATCAGCTGGATACGTGAGCTCATGGATAAAGGTATAGCGCATAATGTGCAGTGGTGTGGTACTAGAGATATGACCGCATATGGGCATACAGAGGGGAGTATCGATCGGGAGCTGCTTTTGGAAGTGATGTCAGGTAATCAGTCATTCAAGTATGACGTGAAGCAGTTTGTTCCCTTTCGGGGTCCCGAGGACAGAAACAAGCCTAAGTCTAATCAATTTTAGACTGTCCTTGTTGCCCCCCGCGGTCCAGTTTGCCAGCATGGGCGCCTAATACAGAGGCGCCCTTCTAGGTGCTCGGAAACGAGCCTACTATTTCACGCTTGGTAACGAGCCTGTTCGGTTTGGTTCAGGCTCTTTGCCTTAATATCCGTTTGCTCGGTGAGGTGTAGCCCGTTTGGCTCGCCTCTAGCCGGGCCGATAGCCCCTTGACGTCCGAGGGGCTATCTCGTACTTGCGTGAAATACTTTGCGAGGAAACTCGCCTCACAGTTTGGTGCTAGGCCAGACTGTACGCACTGTTTTTCTTGCAAACAGTCGTGCGCGCGGCCTTTGTAGAGCCTAACGGCTGCGCGGCTATACTCTCCGTCTCCTCCCCTCCCGACTTTAAGGGTAGCTCTTTGGGAGATGTTATATAGAATCGGGAGTATAGTTCGCGCGCCGTTGCCTTTGGCTCAAGGCACGCGCGCCCTATTTGCCCGGACACAGCTTGTGTTCGCTATGTGCTGGAAAGATCATTACATCGATCTTATCCTATCTTATCCGTCCATTCCTCTTACTGAACAACCTCAGTACGATACTGGACGCTATTTGCCATCCGCTTCCCATGGAATCGGATGCTATTTGACTTGCCATAGTCACTTCAGACTCCCCTAGCCAGCACACGTCGTTGGGACGGATTGAGCCTGGCGCCCCACTGGCGACTCGCTCATCGGGCTTCGCGCCTGCCCCCGCCCAGTTTGACGGACACGTTTGCCCCGGTACACGTCATGTCGCTGTGTGGGTCATGCCTCACGGCAGGCATCGAATTCTTCGACATTTTGTCCACTGCGCGTGCCCGAGCTTCCCAGGATGCCCCCTGCCGTCAGCTTCCCCGCAACCCCGCGGCTGCTTCGTGAGTGGGCCGGCCGGCTAGCGGCGCGTCTTGTAGCTAATTGGGCTTGCCCGTCGGCCCGGACACCCTGTTCGCCGCGTGCGCTCTTCGCTCGCGCCGCGACCGAAAAAAAATATCCCCACCAGCTGCCCCGCTTTGACTGGACCCGCCGCCGGCGCGCTCGCCCGCGGCCGCTGACCAAAAACTGTCCCCACCAGCCCATTCAGAGACCCTGACCTTGTGAGCTGACGGGAAAGAGTTACGAAGAGACACATTCTTTGAAGCAGAGCGCTCAATCAGGGTGAACAAAGAGATCTCTGGGAGCAAGGGGTTGGCCTTGGAAAGCCTCTTTGGGCCATCCCTGGGAGCCGCGTGGGGGCGAGGGGAGCTCTTGAGGCCCTCTTGGGGCCCTCTGGGAGCTCTCTTGAAGCTCTCTTGGGGGCCTCTTGGGAGCCCTGGAGGGCCTCCTGGGGCTGCCGTGGAGGGTGTCGGTGAAAAGAGGGGGGTACTAACGTGTAGTCTCGACGGGGGGAAGGCTCGACATGTCAGTCCGTATTCCCTAATGGGCCGTCTTGGGACGATTTTTGATGGGCCTGTTGTCCATCACCACCACCATAAGTTGGAGGGGGGAAGGAGGAGGAGGAGGAGGTGGTGGTGGTGGTGGTGCAAAACAAGCCCATCAATCTTGGGAGCTCCTTGGGCAGTATTTGACAGTGTCAAAACGAGAAAGGCGGGTATGTAGAACATGTGCATGTCCTGGAGGAGTGTGACGATTGTTGCGCCTTGTGGCTGTCTTGCAGCCATCTTGGGCTGTCGCGGTGTTACCCTGGGTCGTCTCGACGCTTCCTCTGTCAATCTCGGCGCCCTGCTTGGGCCCTCTTGGGCCGTTTTGGGGCTCTCTGGAGCTTTCGGAGAGCCCCCCGGGTGCGATGACGGGCTCGTATCCCCTCCCTCCCAGATCAGGATTGTGGACCCCAGGAGAGAATAAAGGGGGAGGGGGAAAGCCAACCATCTCACACGCCTTTGCATTCCCTGCAAGCGAGGCTTGGCGGATTCAATGAACCTGTCTGTGTCCGATTGGTCCTCGGACATGGGAATAGCCAGGGGGGCCAGCGCCATTGAGTATCCGAACGCAGGATATTATTCCATGCTTTTTACCGCGAGCAACGTTAAGCACGACGATGCACAAAGCAATGGCGACTATCGTGCTGTCGTTAAGGCAAACGAGTGGATGAAGAATTCCCCTCCGCAGCCCTTCCTGTTATTTCTTCCGGGACACGGTGCGCATCCGCCATACGGAGCGCCAAGAGAGTTCCACGAGAAGTGGCCAGTTTCTTTGGTCAGAGAAAAAGTCAGCCTACGGCCACCCTATCAAGAGGGTAAGCCGTCGTACCATTCGAAGACGAAAGGCATTCCACACTACCGTAATCTCACGAGCTTGGATGACGACTTCTTCTACAGGATCCAGGCAACTTATCTTGGTATGATCTCTTACGTAGACTGGATGTTTGGCGAGTTGCTCAGAGGCATCGAGGAGGCCGGACTAGTGAACAACACTGCAATATTCTTCTCCTCAGATCACGGCGATTTCTCAGGAGAGTTGAAGGCCTTCGACTACTTCCGCCGAATCCCTGCCCTAGGCATCGAGGGATCCCCGTCGCTGTCGCTGTCGTCGTCGTCGTCCTCCTCATCCTGCCACTCCTTCTTTCGCTCTTTCTCCTGGAGGCTTTTGGGGCCCTCTTGGGAGATTTTCGGGCTGTCCAGGGTGTCCCCTCCCTTCAAGTTGGCTTTCTTTGATCACTCGGGGACCTATGGCTCTCCGTCTGGGGCCTCGTGTTAGGTCGGGCCTGTCCCCCTACAGGGGGATTTTGGGCGAAGAATTAAGAATACCCCAAATATACTCCCAAAATTGTCAAACATAGTCAACACATCGTCCCCTGACTATTTTTAAAACGATTTAAAACAAATCCTCCTGCAGAGGGACAGGTCCGACTTAAGCCTAGTGGATCTTTTTATAGCCTTCTCTGGGCGCTCTTGACATGAGACTTTGCCCTCCTGCAGGGCTGCTGGGTCGCGCGGAAGCCACTCGCGATCCTTCCGGGCAATTTGACGAGGGGTCTTCACCATGCGAGCGTGTATCTACCACAATTCCTCCTCCTCCTCCTTCTCCTCCCTCCTCCTCCTCCTTCTACTCCTCCCTCCTCCTCCTCCTCCTCCTCCTTCTACTCCTTCTACTCCTTCTACTCCTCCTCCTCCTCCTCCTCCCTCCTCCCTTTTCAGAGGGATCGTGGCCTTGGAGCGTTCGAGGCATCTTGGCTCTGGGTGTCTGGATGCATTTTTGACGTGGCCTACGCCAGTCCGCTGGTCCCCCAGAAGAAACCATGAGGGTCTCTTGGGGATGCCTCTCAAGGGCCTCTTGGAAGGCCTTTGGGTTCATCTGGGAAGCTTGTTAGGGCCTCTTGGGGGCCTCTTGGGGGCTTCTTGGAGGCGTCTTGGAGGCCTGTTGGGGCCTCCAGGGGGTTCCTCGGAGGCCTCTAGGGGGCTCTTGGGGCGATCTTGGGGGAAAGGGCTCGAGGTATCAGTTCGTCTTCCCCCTCTTGGGCTACCTTGGGGCCCTCTTGTGGCTCTCTTGGAGGGTCTTGGGGGCCCCTGGGGCCGTCTCAGGGCCCCCTAGGGCCCTCCTGGGCTGGCTCGGAGCCATCTTTGGAGCCTCATCGGCCGTCGTGCGAGGATCTTTGGGGGTCCCTTAGGCAGCCTTTGGAGCTGTCAAGACGAAAAGGCGAGTCTGCTACACATGTACGTTTTCCCCAGGCCTCGGCGGTCCTCTGGGAACGCTTTTGGGCCGCCTTGAGGGCCTCGTGGGCCGTCTTGAAGTCATCTTGGGTCGTCGTGGGGTTACTCTGGGCCGTCTCGGTACTCTATTCGACTGCGTTGTTTGGGCCCTCTTGGGGGTGCGTTGGCGAGCTCGCCCCCTTCCCCCCCCCCTCAAACTGCCTTTTGGACATCAGGGGGGGAAGAAAGGGGAGGGGGACAACCAACTGTCTCACACGCCTCATCACCCCAGCAAGTGGGGGCCGGCGGATTTCTTACACTGACGCTTCGCGTGCCCCCACTGGCCCATCCAGAAGCGATGCCCGGACGGGTTGCCGGGAGGAGGGAGCAGATGTCAGCATGCAGTGAACCGTGGAGGCGGGCAGCAGTGAGTTTATAGATACCTCGTGGAGCCTCTCGGAGGCCTCCTGGCGCTCTCTTTTTGGGCCCCGTTTTGGGGGCCTGTTTTGGGGTCGTCTTGGGGGGCCTCCTGTCTTGGATGCCATCGAAGGTGGGAGCGATCGCCTCTCGGAGCCCTTTGGTGGCGCTGCTCTTGGGCGCTCTTGGGGCCGCCCTGGGCCTCCTCTTTGAGCTCCTCCTGGAACTGTTGGGCGATCCACGGGGCCGTCCTGAGGCCTCCAGAGCCCACCAGAAGTGAAAAGATGTCAAGCAGTGGCGAAGCGTCCTGGCGTGCCTATAGGCCTACCAAACAATGTTCTGAGAGCCTTTTGTGGTTTCCAAGAACTGTTCTTAGAACATTCTGGTTGAGACTGTTTTGTTTGAACACATCGGGCTAATGTTCTAAGAACATTGTTTTTGTTTTTAGAACATTTTTGGAATGCTAGGACTAGGACGGTCGGTCCCTGCTCAAACATCCAGCAGTACGGTCGAGCATTTGATTAAGAAACCTCCTCCAGAAAGTTGGGCCAGCGTTTCTTGGCCAACTTGCTGGAAAGCTGTCTCGGTTTCTTGATCACGTTCGCCCTTCAGCGTTGACAACATAACCTGGCCCAGGTCAGTTTTAAGAGACTTTGGGAAGCTGGCCCAGATTTCTTAGTTGGCAAGTTTCGTGATCATTTTGTCGGCTGTATTCGGTTCTGGAAAGATGTTGGCCTCTCGGGATCGCCTTGGGGCGCTCCGTGGCCATTTGGAACCGTCTCTGGGTGGTCTTGAGGCCTCTGGGAGGCATGTTGAAGGCATCTTGGTCCATTTTGGATTGTCTTGGGGCATTGTTTGGTGCTATTTTGGGCTATCCAAGGCCCTCTTGGAGCCACCATGGGTCGTTTTGGACGCTCTAACGGCTTGTGCGACCCCTGGTTCAGACCCACGGGAGGGGATGGGCAGGGGTGCACTTTTCTTCGGGTGACAATTTCTGAGCCACCGACGCCCAGAGCGCATGTTGCAAACGATCGTCGCCCTGGGAGCTCGGACCCGGACTGTTTTTCGATGGATCGTGGCGATGGCTGGGAGTTCGGATCCAGCGTATGTGTCGTGGCCTTGTTTTTTGTTGATCCGTCGTGCTTTGTGATGGGTCGTGGCACTGGTAGCGAGGATCCCTCGTACTTAATGGGATTGTGGTCCTGGCCCAGGAACGGGAGCCGTCGCCTGAAGAGACGCAGAGCTTGTTTTAGTTGCGACGATAGAATTGTCTTGTAAGCGCGGATTTTTCCAATTTGAAATTGCTTGTTGCCCTCGAGTCGTATACCCCTCGTAATCTTGGCGGGGTCGTGGCCCTGGAAGTAGGGATGTTCAAAGGATCATGACCCTGGAACGGCAGACCTTGGTAATCTGTGAGGGGTCGTGGCCCAGGGACTGCGTATCCCTGCTAATTCGCCATTTGTCCTGACCCTCAGAGCGCGGATCCATTAACTCATAAGTGAGATGTAGTGGATCTAGGAGCGCATGTCTAGCGCACTTTGCAGAGGATCGCTCCCCTGGGAGCTCGGATTCGCCATAATTTTTGACGGGTCGTGGCCCCTGGCTGGGAGCGCGGATCCAGCGCTTTTTTAGTTTTGCAGATGGGCCGTGGCCTTTGGGGGTGCAAGTCCGTCGTGCTCTGGGATGGGGCCCTGGCATTGGGATCGTGGCCCTGGCCTTAAGTCGGGCCTGTCCCTTTACAGGGGGAGCATTCAAAAATAGTCAAAACATAGTCTGGGGACTATTTTTATAGTATCGGTTTGATTATGTTGGGGGTATTTTTGGGTGGTTTTCATTTTTCGTCTACAATCCCCTTGTAGGGGGACAGGCCCGACCTAACCCTGGCCTTGGAACGCGAATCCATTTCAGTTCTGATAGACCGTGACCTTGCGGGCGTGAAGCCCACACAGCTGGCGAGGAATCGTGGCCCTGGAAGCTGGACGCGCAGATCCTTAGAATCCGAACGGGATCGTGGTCCCCGAAGCGTGGGCCCCTCGCAGCTTGGGGAGGGGTCCTGGCCCCGGGGAGCAGGGATCTGCAAGGGATCATGGCCCCGGGAGGGCGCATCCCTTCTCTGATTCGTGAGGGGTCGTGGCCCAGCGAGCGCAGGTCCGTTGTAATTTGCGAGGGGTCTTGGCCCCGGGAGCGCGGATCTCTGGTGATTCGCAAACATTCGTGGGGGCCAGGCGTCCCAGGAACCTCTCAGATGAGGGGGCGTTGATGAGGCGCTCTTGGGGGCGGGAGGGAGACTTACAGAGGGCGGGCAGGTACGACGACTGCATTCAATCAATCACGTCACGGCCGGAATGTGAGCCGATGCAGCGTGACGGTTCGCAGCCTGGTGGCCCCGCAGGGGCGCTCGCGGATTACCACATGATGGAGAAATGGCCAGGCGGCGCGGACGATATTCTCACGCGCGTGCCGGTGTTTGCTCGGGTTCCTGGAGCTTCCCATGCCGCGGCAGGCTTCGCGGCCAAGGCTCCCATCTCGTTGTTCGATATTCCTCACACGATGTGCGAGCTTGCTGGCATCGACGTTACGGGAGACGGAAGTGGGAAGTACGGCATCAATTTCGGGATGTCCCTCAAAGGTCAGCTTCTAAACGGCGAGGAAGGTGACATGTCACGATTCGTCTATTCCGAAGGTGGCTTTGGTTTTCGCAATGAGGTCTTCCCCATGGGCTCGGACCACGTGCCAAATGACCCCACAGGCCAATACTACCCGCGCGCAATGGAGGAAATGTCTGACAATGGAAATGGGTCGCCGAAGTGGGTCATGCGGCGGAACCTCACGCACAAACTCGTCTATCGACCCAGGGGCGTCTCTGAGCTTTACGATTTCACGCATGACCCGCTGGAGCTGAGAAACCTGTGGGGAGATCCGAGCTACGGCTCAGTCAAAACCGAGATGCTGTCTGGATTGATGGAATGGCTGGTTGAAACAGGTGACGTATCTCCCATGCACACCGATCCTCGTGGACTGCCTCGGTTCCCTGCACCTGCAAGTGCTTGCGCGACGAGCGGTGCAGTTGGTCCTGGCGAAGGTGGCGCTGATCTGGCCGTCTTGCGGCCTAGGAAGGATGAAGTGGAACTTGTCGTCTAGAGGGGCGACAAGCTGCCGATAATGGCTTTTCCTTCTCCTTCCTCTTCCTCCTCGCCGCACCGGTGTAGCCCTTCCTTTGCTGGTGCCCTTCTCAGCGGGCTTGGCGTGAGTTGGCCTCGCATTTGCGGTGGCTCTTGCTCCGGACCTCCCGTATTCGAGCGAGCCATACATCCGACGTGCCGCTACCCTCCATCAAGCCACTGGATCCTATGGCTCTTTTCTCCAAGCGCGCGAGGCCGATGGGGAAAACACCAGTTTTCGTTGGGCTCCTCCAGTGTGCTTTGGTTGTCTCTGTTGCTGTCCTCATTCTCGTGAGGCCGCATTCGGCTCCTCGTCCGTCCCTCTGCCCAGCGCACCCGTCCAAAGTTGTCTTCAGGTGAGGCGGAGGCGCGAAGGGTTGGGAACGATTCAGAAACATTGCTTGGAGGCGCCACGGGCCATGAGGTGCGCTCGAAGCTGCTCGTAGGGGAGGGGGAGGGCGAGGACGAAGACGAGATGAGGAGGAGGAGGAGGAGGAGGAGGAGGAGGAGGAGGAGGAGGAGGTGGAAGAGGAGGAGGAGGAGGAGGAGGAGGACCAGCGGATGCGGAGAGCTAGGGGAGGGATGGAAAAGGGACGGGGGGCGGGGACAAGATACCTCTGGTAGAGCCAGCGGGGTCACCAAGCCCGCGTTCGACCGAGTGTTGGGTGGTGGGATGGGGGAAAGGTGTGAGGAGGGCGGAGGGGGGAGGGGAGAAGGCGAGGGCTACACATCCATCACATGTGTATTTTAGCCAATGTGGACCCCAAACAGTGGTTTTCTAGCAACAACTATGCTGTGCAATCTATGTGGTGCAATCGACGTGATGCAACATGTGTGATGTAGTCTCTGTTGTGCAAGCAAAGTTGTGCAATCTATGCTGTGCAACCTATGTTGTGCAATCTTTGTGGTGCAATATTGGTGCTACAGTTTTTGTGGTGCAGTCTGTGTGTTGCAATGCATGTAGTGCAAAGTAGGTTGTGCAATATATTTCCTACAATCTATGTGGTGCAATGTATGTGGTGCGTCATCTATGTGGTGCAGTCTATCTGGTACAATATGTGTGGTGAAATCTATGCTGTGCAATCCACTTCGAGCGTCTTGAAGCTGTCCTCTCCACTGCTCGTGCAAACATCCCACCCTCCCACCCGCAACTTGGTCGCAAGACCTCTTAAGACAAGACCGTGACGGTAGGTACCGCACGGCACTTGGCCACGACACCGACGACGACGACGGCAGCGACAACGACGACGGCGCCGCCGATACCGACTACGACGACACCGACGACGTCTCCAACGACTTCGACGACGACAACGACGACGACGACGCCGACGACGGCGACGATGACTACGCCGACGACGACGACGACGATGACAACGCCGACGACGACGACGCCGACGCCGACGACGACGATGCCGACGCCGACGACGACGACGAAGACGACGACGACGTCGCCAACGAAGACGACGACGAGGGAGGAGGGAGGACGGCGACGGCGACAACGACGACAACGACGACGTCGACGAGGGAGGATAAAGGACGGCGACGACGCGAACGACGAAGAAGGAGGAAGGACGGCGACGCCGACGACGACAACGACGAGGGAGGAGGGAAGACGACGACGACAACGACGACGACGACGACGACGACGATGGCGACGAAATAGGAGGGACGACGACGAGACGCCGACGACTGACGACGACGACGACGAGAGAGGAAGAGGAAGGACGACCACGGCGACAGCGACGACGGAAACGACCACGATGCCAAAGAGGAGGACGACGACGACCACGAGGAAAGACAGAGGACGACGCAGGCGACGACGACGACGACGACGCGGGAGGGGAGGACGGCGACGACGAAGACGACGACGACGACGCCGCAAGAGCGCGCGCGCACGCTTTTGTTGAAAATCTCTGTTCCGAAACCTTTTTTTGTTTAATTCAAAAAAGTTTTTTGGACACACGATTTTGAAATCCTTCCGACACCGATGGGTTTTGAAGGTTTTCGGCGTACGCCCGCGACGACGCGCGCGTCTGCACTTCGTCCCGTTTGTTGCAAAAGATTCTCGCGGCGGCACACGCGCAAGGGCGTTCGACAGATTTCGACATGCGCGCGCGCGAAGCCCGTTTAATAGCATTTTATGAAAATCTTGAAGATCGTATGGTTTTCTTACGGTTTCGCAAGAGCTCGCGCGGAAGCTTTTTTAGCAGCTCAGTGTTGCGACACCCTGTGTTTTTGTATGTTTTTTTTTAGAAACTCGATTGCGAAATCCTTCCCGCACCGAAGGTTTTTGACGGATTTCGGCATGCGCGCGCGACGACGCGCGCGTGTGCACTTCGTCCCATGTTTTGCAAGGGATTCGTGAACAAGTGTTATGTTAGAACCAAAAATGTCACCGCATAGTGTTTTTTACAAGGGAACCTCAGGGGGGGATCCCAGCCCCCTTGGGATAGTGTAAGTTCATAGTTAGGATGGACATGTGGTCGTAATCATATATGATTTACATACCCGGAAGGGGGGGCGATAACGCCGGGGGTGTGGTGTGGTGTGGTGCAATATCTGTGGTGCAATCGGCGTGGTGCAGCCTATGTGGTGCGCGATATAAGCGATGCAATCTATCCGATGCAATTTGAGTGGTGCAATCTACGTTGTGCAATCCACTCTGCTGAACTCGAAGTCGTCATCTCCGCTGCTCGCGCAAACATCCCACCCACCCACCCGCAACTTGGTTTGCAAAACCTCTTAAGACCGACTACGACGACACCGACGACAACGACTAGGACGACACCGACGACGTCTCCGACGACTTCGACGACGACAACGACGCCGACGACGACGAAGACGACGACGACGACGCCAACGAAGGCGACGACGAGGGAGGAGGAAGGACGACGACGGCGACAACGACGACAACGACGACAACGACGAGGGAGGAGGGAGGACGGCGACGACGCGAACGACGACGAAGGAGGAAGGACGGCGACGCCGACGACGACAACGACGAGGGAGGAGGGAAGACGACGACGACAACGACGACGACGACGGCGACGAAATAGGAGGGACGACGACGAGACGCCGACGACGGACGACGACGACGACGAGGGAGGAGGAGGAAGGACGACCACGGCGACAACGACGACGGAAACGACCACGACGCCAAAGAGGACGACGACGACGAACACGAGAAAAGACACAGGCGACGACGACGACGACGACGACGCGGGAGGAGGGAGGACGGCGACGACGACGACGAAGACGACGACGCAAGAGCGCGCGCGCACGCTTTTGTTGAAAATCCGTGTTGCGACACCCTGGGTTTTTGTAGGTTTTTTGGACGCACGATTTTGAAATCCTTCCGAAACCGATGGGTTTTGAAGGTTTTCGGCGTACGCCCGCGACGACGCGCGCATCTGCACTTCGTCCCGCTTTTTGCAAAAGATTCTCGCGGCGGCACACGCGCAAGGGCGTTCGACAGATTTCGACATGCGCGCGCGCGAAGCCAGTTTGGTAGCATGTTGTGAGAATCTTGAAGATCGCATGGTTTTCTTAAGGTTTCGCAGGAGCTCGCGCGGAAGCTTTTTTCGCAGCTCAGTGTTGCGACACCCTGTGTTTTTGTATGTTTTTTTTAGAAACTCGATTGCGAAATCTTTCCAGCACCGAAGGCTTTTGACGGATTTCGGCATGCGCGCGCGACGACGCGCGCGTGTGCACTTCGTCCCGTTTTTTTTGCAAGGGATTCGTGTAAAACTGCTATGTCAGAACAAAACATGTCACCGCATAGTGTTTTTTTACAAGGGAACCTCAGGGGGGGGAAACCGGTTTGGCTGGGATGGTCTGATTTTATATTTCGGATGGACGAGTGTGCAGAAAATATATGAAATCATATTATCCCAGGGGCAGCGGATAAGTCCGGGGGGGGGGGGGGTAGAGTCTATTCTTTTTTTAGAAAGGAGAATCTTGGCAGCGACGGGCTGGCGACGGGCCGGCGACCTTGACCTCGGAGCCGCCAGACCGCCAGCCAGGCCCAGACGACGGGCGTTGACGAGGCAGGGCGGCGACGGCGACCACGAAGCCGCCAGACCACCAACCAAGCGCAGACGACGGGCGGCGACGAGGTGGCGACGGGGCGGCGACGGTGACCTCGGAGCCGCCAGACCGCAAGACAGGCCCAGACGACGGGCGGCGACGAGGCGGCGACGGGGCGGCGACGGCGACCACGGAGCCGCCAGACTGGCAGATATGTCCAGCTCCTTGTGAAAGTGAAAACAAGTAAGCTACGTGGCGCAAGTTATGTTGTGCAATCTAGATTGCTCAGCATATGTGCCGCATCTTCTGTGGAGCAATAGATGAGGTGCAATTTACATGGTGCAAGCAATGTGGTGCAATCTAGGTTGTGCAACACATGTTGTGTAAACTATGCTGTAAACATTTTGTGGAGCATATAGGTGGTGCCATCTATGTGGTGCAACCTACGTGGTGCAATTTGTTTCTGTTCGCAGTGAGTTGTCCACTCCACTGCTCGCGCAAACATCCCACCCACCCACCCGCAACTTGGTTTGCAAAATCTCTTAAGACCGTGACGGTGGGTACCACATGGCACTTGGCAACAACAGCGACGCCGACGACGACAGCGACAACGACGATGACGACGCCGCCGACAACGACTACGACGACACCGACGACGTCTCCAACGACTTCAACGACGCCGACAACGACGACGACGACACCGACGACGACGACGACACCGACGCCGACGACGACGACGATGACAACGACGACGACAATGACGACGCCGACGACGACTATAACGACGACACCGACGACGACGACGTCAACGACGCCGACGACGACGACGACGACGACGGCGGCGACGACGACGACGCCGACGTCGACGACGACGAAGACGACAACGACGCCGACGCCGCCGACGACGACGAACACGACGACGACGTCGCCAACGAAGACAACGAGGAAGGAGGG